ACACCAACAAATGGCACCGAATCGAAAAGGACCTGTACCTGGGCAAGTCATGGACCACCAGCGCATACGTACACGTCGCACGGAAGAAGGAGGAGGAGCTGCTACCAGAGGATAAGGTAGTCATGGACGTTTCCGTCGGCCGACTCGACCCCACGACTTCTAAGAAGGGAGAGGAGGACGAGAGGTGGGAGAGCCGACCATACGGATTGTGGGTGAAGCGGTCTTCCAACCAGAAAGACAGCGACTCCAAGAAGGCCGTTACAGGCATCGATGTCCTGTTTGGCGACGACGCGGTTGAGGCTCGCGATGGCTGGCAGATCACCGGAACGCCCTTGCTGCTCCCGCTCAACGAAGAAATCCCCGTCACCCACATCACTCTCCGGAGAGGAAGCCAGAAGGAGCCTCACAAACCACAGCCGCGAATTCCCGAGAACGGCAGGTTCAAAATCATGCAACTGGCCGATCTCCACCTCAGTACCGGCGTCGGCAAGTGTCGCGATGCCATGCCCGAGGGCTACAATGGCGGCTTGTGCGAGGCGGATCCCAGAACGCTGGATTTCGTCCAGAAGATCCTCACCGAGGAGAAGCCCCATTTGGTCGTGCTTAGTGGAGATCAAGTCAATGGCGAAACTGCTCCTGATGCGCAGTCGGTGAGTGGCGTTTTCTCTGTCTGACTGGGCGCAAACTGACTTTACTAGGCAATCTTCAAAATCGCACAAATCCTCATCAAGATGAAGATCCCTTACGTTTCAATTTTTGGAAACCACGATGATGAGGGATCGCTTCCTCGCGCTGCTCAGATGCAAATTCTCGAATCGCTCCCATATTCTCTGGCAAAGGCCGGACCCGAAGAAATCGATGGTGTTGGCAACTACTATGTTGAGGTCCTTGCTAGAGGCAAGTCGGACCATTCAGCACTCACCCTCTACATGCTCGATTCCCATGCATATTCTCCCGATGAGAAGAAGTACCATGGGTACGACTGGATCAAGCAGAACCAGATTGAGTGGTTCAAGAAGACTTCTACCAATCTGAAGAAGGCACACAAGGAGTACAGCAAGGTTCACATGGACCTGGCCTTTATTCACATTCCTTTGCCCGAGTACAGGGATGCCGATCTCGCCATCAAAGGCGAATGGAAAGAGGGTGTTACAGCACCCAACTTCAACTCTGGCTTCCGTGACGCACTCGTCGAGCAGGGCGTCGTGATGGTCAGTTGTGGACAGTAAGTTCCATCCTCAGCCCTTGAAAGAAAACCACAACCTAACCTGGTACAGTGACCATGTCAACGACTACTGCTCCCTCTCGCTAGACAGCCAGCAGAAGCCAGCCCTCTGGATGTGCTACGCCGGCGGAGTCGGCTTTGGCGGCTATGCCGGGTACGGAGGATACCACCGCCGCATACGTGTATTCGAGGTCGATACCAACGAAGCTCGGATCACGACGTGGAAGCGTGTTGAGTGGGGCGACACCAGTAAACGGATCGACGAGCAAATCATTGTTGAAGCGGGCGGGCCGATAGGCATCAGAGAAAAGAAGGCATGACAGAACTTCTCTGACGGTCTATTCGAAACAAAGATGGAAAACAGAAGAAGCAAGAAAAATGAAAGAAAAAAAGAAGAATGAAGTGCTGGAAAATATTTGGAGTTTCGGGTCAGGTTAACTAACAAACGGTGTTTGGGTCTGGCTCATCAACAAGAAAGTCTCTACAGGGAGAAAAAGACTTTCAAAGGGGAAATTCATAGCATGTATTATTTTGACTTGTCAAACTGTCTGAAAGCATCATCTCTTGGGTGGACTGGCACAATGGCAGATTGAAGGCTGAAGTATGGAAGTGATGGATGGGCGTCGGGACGGAAATGTGTACATGTATGTATCTCTATAGGAGACATGACGGCCAAATTTCCTCTTTTTCTGACCTCGTTCTTGTTCTCTTGTGGGTGTATTTGTGAGTCTTCTCAATGTGGGTAGTAGCCGGGGAGACTGAGTTGCTCGGTCAAGACATATACGGCTAGGTATGGGTAAGAATGGACAGGTATGGATTACACTTCCAGACCAGACGATGCGGTTGGTGGATCGAGAGGGCTCCCAGGAAGGGAGACGACTTTCTTCCCAGCCCTAGGACTCAAGACGAGCTCGGACCGGCTCATATCCTACCTCAGGTAGGTATATTAACTTTAGGCAACCTCGGGAGGTGGCGCGTCGTCTGACATGCGCGGGGGGGTTCAATGAGGTTTAAGAAGAGCCAGGAGGTCAAGCGGGTGTGACGAAAGCTCAACTGAGCTCGAAGGCCACCTTACTGGCATTCTTCACCTGTCACCGCAAGCGATGAGGGAGCCAATGGCTGGGTGGTCATGAGGGGCACCGGTGGAATCCAAAGATTCTCGGCCCATCGTGAACCACAATATAACAGGGTCCTCGTCAGAATATCTGACCGGCAGGTTCTATCGCCCTCGTGGTGTTGCATTTCGGAATAACATTCATCTCGTCGGGGATGGTAGGTTTGCTACCTTACACACCGCACAGTGTCGACTTTAATCACCTTCTTCGCTGCCACCGATGTCGTCGGGTAGATATTTCGAGCAAAAAGCTGAAGGTCTAATAAGCGCTGTGGCTTGGGAGTGTGTACCCACGACATGCCACGCCATCACGCGCGCAACCCCAAGGTTTTGGTCGTGCAGTGGGACGAGGTGTGGGTGGGTAAGGTGAGATGAGGCTGAAAGTGTGTTTTTCCACGCCTGAAGGATGCCGCCATCATGCTCTCCGGAAGCTTCGCACAGGGCATGTGTTTTTGTGCTATTTGGACCTTTATTCTTTACCTGTGTGAGATGACTAGATCGTTGAGACAACTTGTCTGGGTACACGATATTGCAGATGTATTAAGGAGACTGGGAAAAGGGGCGATGAGGGCTCTCCATGCATTGTGTCATTCGTCTTCTCATCCAGGTATATGTGGGACAAAGGTGGCCTTAGAGGTAGGTAGATTGCCATAGACCTCCATCGAGCTGCAAGACAGAGGTGTGGTTGTCGGGCGTCCCACTCACACTTGCTCCTGCCGAAGCTGCCTCTCGGGTACGGCACCCAGCGTCTGGGCCCCGGTCCCGGGGAGACTTCATCGGAACGGCCTACGCCTTGATGCGAATCTTACTCTTAGATTTGCCCATGTTTGCTATTCTAATCTTCCAAATGATGGTAAATTTGATAAAGAGCGTCGGAACTTTGGACATTTGCATCGAGAGGTTTCTTTGACTAGCTCAGGACGGTGGTCCGGACGACATGGCCACTGGACATACATACCTCTTCGTCTCTTTCTCGGCTTGTTCGTGGCGTCCGCTTCAGCTTAATGTCCGTGGAGATAGTTTGATGCTCAGGGTTGGGATAATTTCTCGTCGAATATTCCCGCATCTCGGCCTCTGTTTCCTTGTACTTAGAAGGTCGGCTCAGCAGGGAGCCGGCGGCTGTTCATTCAAAGGCAAAAGTCTTATATGCCAGCCATTTGAACCCTTGAAAGCTGAGGATTTCAGGCCACTATCGCAAAAAGATTGCCTAATAATATCTTCGTTCCTCAGTACGCCGATTTCAAGTTGCTCGGGTGATTCGATATCGCACATCGGTTCTGTCCCTTGCCGCGCTTCTAGCCGTCAGGCATATCGAGGCTCTAAGTACCCTGTTATCGAGGAAATCCAGGATTGCATTAAACTAGCAATAAGGCTACCGTGGGTGGTCTGGACTGGCTCATTTTGCCTCAGCTTGTGCCGTTAAGTTGGTGTCCGACGTGGAAGTAGGTTGGCGCTAGAACACGCTGTCAGCAACCTTCTGCACCTCTTTGGTCGGTTTGCTCGGTCTGCTTAGATTGCCGTGTTCGTTTATATCTCCAATTATCGTGCAGGCAGTGACGTTCTCAAGCTACTTACTGTTTCATAGGTCTCGAGGTAAGAGAGGGTAGACTCTTCGAATCAAGATATCGAGTCCATTGTTTGGAAACGTCTCACAGGGGGGCTTGTCGTGAGGATGGGGTGACTTACTCGTAGTCCGTCACTTTGTCTGCTGTTGTTAGAGCTTATTCGGATCTCAGCTCGGAGATTGCCTTGTCATTCCAAAAGGTGAAGCAGGCCAGTCGCCTGACTTCCTCCGCACCCGCCCTCTACGATACGCGGCAGGACTCCCGCCATCGTAGCTTTCTACCAAATCATTTCTCACCTCGCCATATCATAGAGTAGTGACAGGTTGTCTGTGACACCAAGGTACTTACACGAATCTGCGGCGATAGAAAGTATAATGCGTTTGACACCGGCGCCAGACTCGGCGGCACTGTGTATGAGCCTCACTTCCACCAAGCGAAGCCACGAGAGTCCCAGAATCAAGGGGTGCTCTACACAGTGCACGATCCCGATTTCCCAGGGCGAGATAAGATTCATGAGTTGAGAGGACTGAGGGCGTCGTGTCGTTCTAAATCGCGCGTCTGTCAGCCACAAAGTTGGATCAGCATCGGGGGAGGGAGGAGAGTTTTGAAGAGCTTTACCTCGCATTCCCTCGGGCCTTAAAACGCGTTTTGCCCGTCCGCCTCTACACCTCGACCTTTCTTCCCTCTTCATACTCGTTTCCGTTATTCGCGGATCCATCGCTTCTTCGTGTGTATCGTCAATATTTGCTTGGTTTTCGCCTTGGTTCTTTCGTCCTCGATAAGCCCTGTCAAGTACTTTGGTAAGCTTCGTCGGCCATACAACTATACCTCCCGGAAGAGCATCTCTGACCTCACCTGCATTAGCTTCAATAGCCAGAATAGCTCAACGCACAACTGCTTTTGCACTTCGTTCTCCGTCGCTCGCCTAGTAAGCTTCTTATACCATGTCCTTACCCATAACGTCCCTCGTGAATATAGCTTTTGTACCAACATGACTTGTCTCCTGTCACTCTTCTCCCACAACTTAGCCTCGCTGTTCGTACGTGAATAAACAACTGACCTAGAAAGACAGTGTAAACCACTCGAGACTGTCATCATGAACGGCACCACTAAAGCTCCCGATGCTTCCTCGGCCCCCAACCAGTCGCAGCTGACGCCCGAGTTGATGCCGGGTCTGACGCCGTCGCAGCAAGTCCCTGCCCATAATGGTGCAGGGTGGGAATTTCTCCAGGGGATGAACATCACCCTGCAGGGTCATTGCGAGTGCCTGGGTAGACAAATGCAGACCTGGAAGGGCTCGTACTCCCTTGACTCTCGCTGGGGTGCTAGCCATCAACAGCCCGAGACTCAGCTGAAGGCACAAATGAAGATTGCTGGGGCGCAGCTTGAAGAGAATAAGAAGAAGCGTAAACGTGATGGGCATCGCCGGAAGGACAGAAAGCTCGAACATCGGCAGAAAGAGCAGCAGCAGCAGCAGCAGCAACAGCAGCAACAGCAGCAGCAACAGCAGCAGCAACAGCAGCAACAGCAACAGCAGCAACAGCAACAAGAAGATGAATTGCTGCAACTGCTGCAACAACAACTGCTGCAATACCAGCAGCTGCAACAACAACAACTTCAGGCCCAGCAGCTCCAGGCCCAGCAGCAGTCTCAACCACAGTCTCAACCACAGTCTCAGCTTCAGACCCTGTCCCAGTCCCAGCACCAGTCCCCCCAGTCTGCCCAGTCCCAGGGTGCAGACCACTGGAGCGACCTGGATTGGCTCGTAAATTCCAATCTCGGGACCGCCGCCATAGGACAAGGGCAGATCGACCTGTTGTTCGACGAAATGGATGGGTCCGATAACACGCAACAAGAGCAAGCCCAGGCCTTCGACGAGATGATCACGTCGAGCGTTCCTCCTCCCAACGTTGACGCTCCAGAGCCATGGGTTCCTCCACCGCCTACAACCTTCGAGGATGTGTATCGCCAACAAGATAAGGAAGGTGGCGTTGAACTCGGCCCTTATTCTGCCATGTTGTCTGAATGGGAGCATTCAATGAGCGGTCGTAGCTAAATGCAGTATGGAGAGCAACGATACTGCACCGTAGCTTGCCCCTTTTAGCGTCTTTGGCGTTGTTTCCTGTAAGTGATCCCGAGTTCTGTGGCCTGGGTTGTTTTTTCCTTCACTCAATGATATTGCGTCTGCTACCTTACGGCTTAAGCCGCTAAAAAGGAGCAAAGTCTTGTATATTAGTAGGAGGATATTTTCGTCTTTATCTACCAGTTGGACCTAAAAAGGTCAATGGCGACATCAACCTTTTGACACGGGAATGTCTGAAAATGCCGCCCATTTTAAGAAGTTAGCCATATATTGGGTCCCATGATGGCCAATTTAGCATATTTATCCGCAAAGTCTGTTCCCACGGCGATTGAGGTTCTCCAATCTGTGAGCTTCACTTGGTTTCGAAAACCATACATGTCCCGTAGCTGAGCATTATCGACGGGATTCATAGCACCACGGAGCTTGGCTGCCCGGGTCCCCGTCAGCCGGCTTTGGTCATGATAGGGCGCAGGCAGACAGGCATCCTGGGGTTGAGCGAAGTCTGTGGGCTGAGGTACGGAGGAGATGCCTGATCGATTCTGCTGGGTCACGTTGATGAATGAAAGGCACCACGGTCTGTTTGGTACCTTGAAGGAAGTCGACGTGCTTAGTCATTCCGTGATTAGAGGTTGGACCTTTTGGGAAGGACTTCGGACTTGGAGTCGACTGTCGCAACTGCACCGGAGGCCCCACACTTCGGCACACCAACCGGGCGCGGGGAAAGTGACGACATGTGGGCTGCAGACAGTCCCTGTCGTGATTTCTAAGCAAAAGAAAAGTGAAAGCCCCGCGCCCTTTCTACTGCAAATTGCAATGGAGGGGTCACTCTGACGGAAGCAATCGTGCCACGGTACCACGGTATACGCAGACAAGAGCTGCCAGACAGTGGCCCAGCGTGCCAGCTTCCACGGACCGTGTGTGGGGCGCCCGCCTGGATTATTAAGATGATGGCAGCTTACATAGCTCTCGTTCACAGAGTGAGGGGTTCGTATAAATGCACCCAAGTGGCGTCGAGCGCAGTGGCAGGTGGATTAGTATTCAGTATTTAGACCCAAAACACAACTTCACTTTCTGCACATCGCGGCGACATCACGTAAAACCTCCGTTCAACACTTGCATCGTAAGCATATGACATCTCGACTAGGACAATTGAGTAAACAAATCTTCAACATGGCTGCCAAGACCAAGACCGATATCCACTTGTACACCACCGGTACCCCCAACGGCATCAAGGTGTCCATTCTCCTCGAAGAGCTCGGCCTGGAGTACCAGGTCACGCCCATTGACATCTCAAAGAATACTCAAAAGGTTGGCATCTCAGAGACCTCCATTTGTTCAGTAGCCTGAGGGTCTACTTTCAACCCCTCTAGAGGCCATTATGCTAATGCACGAGTGCAGGAGCCCTGGTTCCTGGAGATCAACCCCAATGGACGTATCCCTGCCTTGACCGACAAGTTTGAGGATGGCAAGACCATCCGCCTGTTTGAGTCGGGGAGTATTTTGCAGTACCTCGTCGACCGCTATGACAAGGACCACAAGGTCTCTTATCCCTATGGCTCGCGCGAGTACTGGGAGGTGAACAACTGGGTATGGTCTACTTACACATGACCATGAGTGCCGTGAAGCTGACGCAAGAGATGTAGCTGCACTGGCAGATGGGTGGCCTTGGTCCCATGCAGGGGTAAGTTGCCTCTCACTTCTGATGAGATGACAGCGAGCTAATGAGTATTCAGACAAGCCAACCACTTTAAGCGTGCGCCAACTCCTCAATTGCTTCCGTGTTCTTCTGTTCATAAACTGACTCTCGCACAGGCTACGCACCCGAGAAGATCCAGTACGGCATTGACCGTTACACCAACGAGACCCGCCGTCTGTACCGCACCATGGACACAGCGCTCGCGGCGAACCCCAGCGGCTACCTCGTCGGTGACCGCGTGACTATTGCCGACATCACCAGCTGGGGCTGGGTGGCGGCGAGCAAGTGGGCTGGTATCGACCTGGACGAGTTCCCCGCGCTCAAGGCGTGGCTGTTCAAGCTGGTGGAGAGGCCCGGCTTCGAGCAGGGCCGCCACGTGCCGTCCAAGCACACGGCGCTGGACCACTTCAAGATGACGGATGAGGAACTCGACGAGAAGGCCAAGGGGGCTGCTGCGTGGATTCAGCAGGGGATGAAGGATGATGCTGCCAAGAAGTGAGCGTGTTAGGTGCCGGGTGATGCTTAAGGGAACGGGCCGTGAAAAGTATCGATGAACAAATAATGCAAAACAAAAAAGAAAACCATTGGATTTCCAACTATGAGCATGTTGGTTTCTACTGACTAATGAAGGATATCGTTGCAGAACAACGCACAACTGCGAGTCGCGCCAGAACCGCGACCTTCATGAGTCTGGAGACCGGCATTGCATTCAAGCTCAAATGAGTCCAATCGGGTCGGTTAGCTCAGTTGGTTAGAGCGTGGTACTAATATTTCATATGAAATGTTGTGTAATGCCAAGGCCGGGAGTTCAAGCCTCCCACTGATCACATTTTTGACAATTTTGAAAAAATTGCCGCTGGTGCAAGTCAAACATCATCAAAATACGGTGTTTGGGATGGGTTGCAAGCTTCGTTGGTTGGAGTTATGTTCCAGTTGCCCTTTTCTTTTTCTGTTCATTGTGCTTTTGAGACGAAGGTTCGACCGACCGTTGGCGCTAGTCCTCTTCTCGGTCCGTGTCTGTGGAATCGGACTTAGGCTGTCACGTGCACCTATCGAGCTTCCTCATCGGGCCCGTCTCAGTGGCGCCCAAAAATTCGGGCCAATTGGCTCTCGCCCCTTAGCTGGAGGACAGAAGGCGCCAGGCTGAAAGATTCCTGTTCAGTGAGGGCCCTCCCATACTATTATTGCAACGGTTCCATATAAAAGTTCCCTTCCCTCAACCATCGAAATCCACAATCACCATCACACCACCCTATTCCCTCTGACTGACAGCTTGCTTGCCATCGCGCATCAGTCAAAATGTCGTGGAGAAACCAGGGAATCACGGGTTCCAACAACATCCCTTTGGGAAAGCGCCGGTTTGGCGGCGATGATGGTGGTGAGGAGGAGTTCCAGGAAGCTCCCCCCAGCAATGGCAACGGAGAGCTGAAGCGCGGTCGCAGCCCAGAGCCTCGTAAGTCTTCGCATTGCATCATGTTACTCCTACTATAGCAGATGCTAACGTCGCTTCCAGGTACCGATGCCGATGGCCCTCGCCGCAGAAAGAAGAGAAACCGTTGGGGCGACGCGTCCGAAAACAAGGCTGCCGGATTGATGGGCTTGACGACGGCCATCACGGCGAACATGACCGGCGAGCAATTGGAGGCTTACACCCTTCATCTCCGTATTACGGAAATTAGCCAAAAGCTTCGCATTGACGACGTCGTTCCCGCGGATGGAGACAGGTACGTTGTCCACGCGTGTCCAGCAATGCGCAGCACCTCGCTAACTGCCACTGTCTACAGATCACCCTCTCCTGCTCCCCAGTACGATAACCACGGTCGCCGTATCAACACGCGCGAGTACCGATACCGCAAGCGCCTCGAAGACGAGCGCCACAAGCTCATCGAAAAGGCCATGAAGACTATCCCTAACTACCACCCGCCACAGGACTACCGCAGGCCCACCAAGACCCAAGAGAAGGTCTACGTGCCTGTTAACGATTACCCAGAAATTAACTTCAGTATGATTGCTAACCCTCTAACCCTAACCAAAATTTCTTGTTTCCCTTGTTCCCTGCCTGGACTCTGGCCAAGCTTGTCATGCATCCTCCAGGTGTCTTGTCAGACCTGGCCTTGTTTGGAGACTGGGACCGTCATATAACTTGCTTCACCCTTTTGATACAGACACTAACGCTTAGCTCTCGTCGTAAAGTCGGCTTACTTATCGGACCCCGTGGCAACACTTTGAAGAAGATGGAGGGAGAATCCGGCGCCAAGATTGCCATTCGCGGCAAGGGCTCAGTCAAGGAGGGCAAAGGCCGTTCGGACGCAGCTCACGCCAGCAACCAGGAGGAGGATCTTCACTGTCTCATTATGGCCGATACAGAGGAGAAGGTCAACAAGGCCAAGAAACTCATTCACAACGTCATTGAAACCGTAAGTTCCCCCTCCCCCCTTTTCAATGACGATTGGCAGCGAATGCTAACATCTCTTCTGCTAGGCCGCCTCCATTCCCGAAGGACAGAACGAGCTCAAGCGCAACCAGCTTCGCGAGCTTGCTGCCCTCAACGGTACCCTCCGTGACGACGAGAACCAGGCTTGCCAGAACTGTGGCCAGATCGGCCATCGCAAGTACGACTGTCCCGAGCGCCAGAACTACACTGCCAGCATCATCTGCCGCGTCTGTGGCAACGCTGGACACATGGCTAGAGATTGTCCCGACAGACAGAAGGGTGCCAGCTGGCGCAATGACGGCGCCGGCAGAGCTGACTCGGCTGGCCGCATTGAAGGCGGAGACGCTGTCGACCGCGAGTACGAGGTACGTTTTTCTGCATTCCTTATCCACAACCCCAATACTGACTTTGCGATAGCAACTCATGCAAGAACTCGGCGGCGGCTCAGCCGGTGGCGCTGCACCTGCACGCATCGAAGCCGGCCCTAGTTCCTACAATAACAACGGACCCAGCGGCGGTGATGCGAAGCCCTGGCAGCGTGGCCCTACCGGCGGACCTGCTCCTTGGCGCAGCCGTAACAACGACTCACGCGATGATCGCGATCGTGGTGACCGCGACCGTGACGGTGGTGGCGGCGGCGGCGGTGGTCCTGCACCTTGGGCTCGCGATCGCAACCGTCGTGATGACCACGGAGGCGGCCACGGAGGCGGCCACGGCGGCTACGGCGGCGGTGACCACTATGGCGGTGGCGGCCAAGGTGGCTACGGTGGTCAATCTGCTGGCGCTGCTCCCGGTGCCGCTCCCTGGCATCAGCCTCCCGGAACTCAGAACGGCTACGGTGGC